ATTTTAGATTTACTGTGGGATCTTGCGTAATGTTTGAAAGGCGCAGACCAAAAGTCTGCCACAAAAATCAAATGATTTGATTTTAAAATTCCTTTATTATAGTTCAAGTGTTGATCTTTGAGAGGGGAAAATTGCATTGTGATTCCTTTACTTCATCAAATGTGCATGGCACATTATTAAGTGTGAAAATATCCCCCAAATACTTTTACATTTGTCAAATCCAATGAGATGTTACAATATCACTGTGATGGTATGATTTTTGTTTGTCCTGTTTTTATGTCCTATTTTACGAATAATAATCTTTTAGGATAATTTCAGTGGTGACCATGTCTAAATAATAGTATTTTATTAGCTGTGTATCACTGATATAAATATTGTATGAATATATATACTATTCATTATTGTTTGTTCCATAGATAGCAAATACACTAAAGGTGTGTATGGTCAAATCAAAAGATATTACAATGATCTAGCATATAATGTATACAATTTGGGGGTTTACAAGTTTTCATTTCGAGAAGAGTTTCTAATAGAGCAAATACCAGTGAATGTTAGATTGTTCTACCAAAGAGATTTCACCAAGGAACAAGGTAGGAGAAATTTGATAGCATAATGAACATGCACATTGAAGGGCCTTCTTTCTTTCTAGGCACTTTTTGATAATTAAGAAGTCATAGAAATGTACCACTTTTTAGCATTTCCAGCCTATTATTCTTCTTAAATTCTTTTGTTTAAAAAAGAAATATGCCTGCCAAGAGCTGTTTATAGTGCAATAGGTCTTCTAATGCACAAACCCCCCAAACGTCACACATCCTCCTATTTTGAAGGGGTACAAGTAGACTAGTAATGACAAATGCAGCAATTGTTAGTAAAGTCAAGTTAACCATAATGTATGCCTAATAAACATAGGAAATGATTGTTAAATTGAAATGACAAAACTATCCTCATAATGTATGACCTATTGTTGCTATATACACCAAGAAATTGCTCTTGAACTTGCTTATTGGGAAATTAAATTCACAACGAGGTGTAGAGGGTGGGCATTCCCCTCAACCCCGCCTAATGGATAAACAACTCCTATGCATGATATTTGAATTCCAATTGATATTTATATCTCTATGACAACTGTTACTAAGGAACTACTCACCTGATAAAAATCTAGCGCTGCTAGCGGGTATTTATCACTGGGTATGATGACAACACAGTTCCCGCGGATAACAGCAGGTGCAAATAATGAAATAAAACTAAGAAGCGGGCTTTCATCGGGACATGCGATCGCTATGACACCCACTGGTTCATGTACTCGTACTGTAGCACCATACAACGTGGTTTCCTACAAAACAATGGTTTACAACATTAAACATTGGAACCGACAATTGATTGGTTTATTATGCAAAAGATAAACATACTCATTAAACCTTTGAAAACCATCAGAAAGATCCTGAAATTTTACCTAGATAACAATCATATCTCAACATTAATCATTTTGACTGAAGTCTATTTTCACTGACATTTTGATGAGTTGGAAAAAATGAAATCGTTCCTGATTTTATTTCCACTGATTCATGTAAAAAGCCCCTTAGATTGACAACGCAAAGTTGCAAAATATGATGCCCACCATGGAGAATAAAATACAGATGTATGATATAGAGACTCAGCGTGGTGTTATTATTATTATGAGCACAGAAAATATTGATTTTTTTTTACCTGTACACTACCACCATATTTATCAGCATATGCACCCCAGTGAAACAATCTCTGAATAGACAAGTCCACCTCTTCTAACGCATCTTTCATTGTCCTACCAGTCATTCGTTGTAACTTTGTAGCGAACTCATCCCGTCGTAATTCTAAATTCTCTGCCATGTAGTAAACAATTTGAGCTCTGTTATGAGCCGCCCTCTTTCCCCATCTGAATACAAACATACATGACAATGATAGGGAATAAAGTAATTCTTCACAGAGTCGCAGATTTATTGGCAATATGACCCCTGACCCTAGATGGTCATTGGTCATATAATAAAAGTCATTGGTAATTTGACCTTTGACACATGGCAGTCATTGGTCATATAATGAAAGTCATTGGTAATTTGACCTTTGACACATGACATTTGACACATGACAGTCATTGGTCCTATAATGAAAATGACACCATGCCCAGGGTAGCCATGGGCAATACATTCACTAGGTTGAAAACATTCACCTACCCTGGTGCTGCTGCATGTGCCACCTCTACAGCATTCCTAATATCTTTTCTGTTGCCATCTGCAACTACGGATATCACTTCACCAGCTGGACTCAAAACCGGTCTGGAATACTGACCATCTGGTCTCTTCTGTCCTCCACCATAGTATAGTTTATAAGTCCTGTCAATGCTATTGAGAAATGCATATAGCCAAGATTGACAATCAAGAAAATATATTGTGAATCAAAAATGGGTGATAATTTTAATTTTAAATTTATTGAACACGTGTAGAAATTGTCCTAAGTTCTGGGACTTTGACGAGAAACATAAGAAAATTATTACACAAAATATCGTCACAAGGTGATGTCACAAGCTCATATTGGAGCGGGTTAACGAAAATATCCAACAGATTGTACCATATGGAACAGGCATGATACATGGCATACTAATGTGAGTGATTATATAAAATATCCAACAGATTGTACCATATGGAACAGGCATGATACATGGCATACTAATGTGAGTGATTATATAAAA